AGGAGTAATCACTATGGCCTCGCTGGAAAGATGGATGAAGAAAATGGCTGTGTAGTCGCAGAGAACAGTTCAAAGATCGGTTCTTCGCCTTGTCTTGAGGCTAAACATGTTTTATTATCATTTTCTCATTCTTCATCTCTCACTTTTAATTTTTTGAGCACACTGACTTTTTGTCGTTTTTCCAACATTTTATTTATTTATTTATTTATTTATTTATTTATTTATTTATTTATTTATTTATTTATTTGCAGCCATGCTCCGTCTCGACATTGTAAACCAATCAATATTAATTGTGTGCTTGTAAGAAGCAATTTTTCGTTATTTCGAAGCCCTACCCTGGTTCTTGCCAGGGGCCGCAATATAGCCCGGCCATAAATATGGCCTAATGGCTGAACGCGGTTTCCGGGACCTATCCACGGGTGATCCTCATTCGCATGTTGGCACTTTGTGTCATCAGGTGTTTATCGTTTGTGTGATTTCCTGTGGGATAAAATGTACTACTACTCATGTAAACTACTTTCTTGCCGGTCGGGGCGGTATTTGGGTCTCTCTCCTTTGATCTCATCAACACTCCATGACTCCTTTACAGGGCTTTTTGTGGCGGTGCAATCCTCAGCCATTTTATATAGTGCACAATAACCTAGTCACAATTATAACCTAAAGCTCCCCCTTCTTGGCTCCCCACTCTCTAAAATCGATGACGATGATGTCTGGACTTCGGGTGATTGTTGCAATCTTCAAGGGCGGTATTTTAACTTTACGGTTAAACCGGTTTCTGGAATGACAGACAGACAGACAGACAGACAGACAGACAGACAGACAGACAGACAGACAGACAGACAGACAGACAGACAGACAGACAGACAGACAGACAGACAGACAGACAGACAGACAGACAGACAGACAGACAGACAGACAGACAGACAGACAGACAGACAGACAGACAGACAGACAGACAGACAGACAGACAGACAGACAGACAGACAGACAGACAGACAGACAGACAGACAGACAGACAGACAGACAGACAGACAGACAGACAGACAGACAGACAGACAGACAGACAGACAGACAGACAGACAGACAGACAGACAGACAGACAGATAGATAGATAGATAGATAGATAGATAGATAGATAGATAGATAGATAGATAGATAGATAGATAGATAGATAGATAGATAGATAGATAGATAGATAGATAGATAGATAGATAGATAGATAGATAGATAGATAGATAGATAGATAGATAGATAGATAGATAGATAGATAGATAGATTAGATAGATAACCTCTGCTGTAAGTTCAACAAATAAACATTACCCAGATGAAGTGAAAACAACGCGTACAAACACAAACTTTCCTCTTTAAAAAAAAAACAGGTTTTCGTCAATTTAATTAAATCATGTTTCCGACAAATTGGTGATGACAACAAAGAGAAAGACAAAAGCCGAGGGCAACAAGGCTGTCTATGACAGATGACAAGTCGTTTCGTTGCAGCCAGCAACCAGAAATTGGAACATTTGGCGCCTTTTTACCATCAATGCTCTTGTTGTGTCTTACCGAATTATTTGATGTATGCGTCTGATTGTTTTGTTTTGATACTGCCGCCAATGTTACATTTAGTGTGCAGTTCTGTGCACTTTTACTGGGGGATGCAATCATGGATTTCGGCTGGAGAATAATTAGAGGTTGCATTAATTAAAAAGAAGTCAGTGAAGCGGGGTGGGACAGTTGGATGAGGAAGTATACTTGGCTGCCATCCAGGCATTTGTTCGTGGTTTGTGCGGGGATAACTTTAATTGTTGGATACTGATCTGAATTTCTATCTGTAATTTAGTTAAAATTCTTGCACGCGGTGGAGGTAAAAAATGTGATATGTTGAGGGTGTTTGTGTGAGTGTTTTGAAAGCCACAAATGTTGGTGCTGTGTGAGTGGTGTGTAGGTGTTGTGTGAGTGTTGTGTGGGTGCTGTGTGAGTGTTGTGTGGGTGCTGTGTGAGTGTTGTGTGTGTGTGCTGTGTGAGTGTTGTGTGGGTGCTGTGTGATGTTGTGTGGGTGCTGTGTGAGTGTTGTGTGGGTGCTGTGTGAGTGTTGTGTGTGTGTGCTGTGTGAGTGTTGTGTGGGTGCTGTGTGATGTTGTGTGGGTGCTGTGTGAGTGTTGTGTGGGTGCTGTGTGAGTTGTGTAGGTGTTGTGTGAGTGTTGCGTGTGTGCTGTGTGAGTGTTGTGTGGGTGTTGTGTGGGTGTGTAGGTGTTTGTGTGAGTGTTGTGTGGTGTGTTGTGTGTGTGTGTTGTGTTGGGGTGTTGTGTGTTTGTTGTGTGTGTGTTGTGTGTGTGTGTTGTGTTGTGGGGTTTGTGTTGTGTTGTGTGTGTGCTGTGTGGTGTTGTGTGGGTGTTGTGTGAGTGTTGTGTGGGTGTTGTGTGAGTGTTGTGTGGGTGTTGTGTGAGTGTTGTGTGTGTTGTGTGGGTGCTGTGTGGGTGTTGTGCGAGTGTTGTGTGAGTGTTGTGTGAGTGTTGTGTGGGTGTTGTGTGAGTGTTGTGTGTGTGTGTTGTGTGAGTGTTGTGTGTGTTGTGTGAGTGTTGTGTGTGTGTTGTGTGAGTGTTGTGTGGATGTTGTGTGGGTGTTGTGTGAGTGTTGTGGGTGTTGTGTGAGTGTTGTGTGGGTGTTGTGTGAGTGTTGTGTGTGTGTGCTGTGTGAGTGTTGTGTGGGTGTTGTGGGCGCGTTGTATGGTTGTTGAGTGAGTTTTGTGTAGGTGTTGTGTGAGTGGTGTTGTTTAGTGCTGTGTGGGTGTTGTGTGAGTTTTGTGTGGGTGTTGTGTGAGTGTTGCGTGGAGGCTGTGTGGGTGTCGAGTGAGTTTTGTATGGGTGTTGTGTGAGTGGTGTTGTTTAGTGCTGTGCGGGTGTTGTGTGAGTGGTGTTGTTTAGTGCTCTGTGGGTGTTGTGTGAGTGGTGTTGTTTAGTGCTGTGTGAGTGTTGTGTGAGTGGTGTTGTTTAGTGCTCTGTGGGTGTTGTGTGAGTGGTGTTGTTTAGTGATGTGTGGGTGTTGTGTGAGTGGTGTTGTTTAGTGATGTGTGAGTGTTGTGTGAGTGGTGTTGTTTAGTGATGTGTGGGTGTTGTGTGAGTGGTGTTGTTTAGTGATGTGTGAGTGTTGTGTGAGTGGTGTTGTTTAGTGCTGTGTGAGTGTTGTGTGAGTGGTGTTGTTTAGTGCTCTGTGGGTGTTGTGTGAGTGGTGTTGTTTAGTGATGTGTGGGTGTTGTGTGAGTGGTGTTGTTTAGTGATGTGTGAGTGTTGTGTGAGTGGTGTTGTTTAGTGCTGTGTGAGTGTTGTGTGAGTGGTGTTGTTTAGTGCTGTGTGAGTGTTGTGTCGTACTGCGAGGGTTTTTTGGTTGAGGGTTAGGGGGGTGGGGGTGCATTGTACAAGACTTGTGTGAGTGCTATGTGTGTTGTTTCAGTGTTGTGTGAGTGCTGTGTGAGTGTTGTGTGAGTGTTGTGTGAGTGCTGTGTGAGTGTTGTGTGAGTGTTTTGTGAGTGCTGTGTGAGTGTTGTGTGAGTGTTGTGTGAGTGCTGTGTGTGTGTTGTGTGAGTGTTGTGTGAGTGCTGTGTGAGTGTTGTGTCAATGTCACCATGGCAACGGTATGACACCTACGATGTTGTTTTTATGGCTGCTATGTGAGTTTTGTGTTGTGTGAGTGTTGTGTGGATGTTGTGTGGGTATTGTGTGGGTACTCTGTGGATGTTGTGTGGGTATTGTGTGGGTATTGTCTGGATGTTGTGTGGGTATTGTGTGGGTATTGTGTGGATGTTGTGTGGGTATTGTGTGGATGTTGTGCGGGTATTGTGTGGATGTTGTGTGGGTATTGTGTGGGTATTGTGTGGATGTTGTGTGGGTATTGTGTGGGTATTGTGTGGATGTTGTGTGGGTATTCTGTGGGTACTCTGTGGGATGATGTGTGGGTATTGTCTTTTTGTTGTGTGGGTATTGTGTTTTACTTTGTGGTGTGTTGTGTGGGTATTGTGTGGGTATTGTGTGGATGTTGTGTGGGTATTGTGTGGGTATTGTGTGGATGTTGTGTGGGTATTGTGTGATGGTTGTGTGGATGTTGTTTGTGTTTTTTTGTTTTGTGTTGTGTGGGTGTTGGTATTGTGTGTGTTTTGTTGTGGTTTTTTGTTGGATGTTGTGTGGGTTTTGTGTGGGTATTGTGTATGTTGTGTGGTTTTTATTGTGTTTATTGTGTGGATGTTGTGCGGGTATTGTGCGGATGTTTTGTGGGTATTGTGTGGGTATTGTTTGTGGATGTTTTGTGTGGATGTTGTGTGAGTGTTTTGTGTGGGTATTGTGTGGATGTGTGTGTGGGGGTTTGTGTGTGGGTATTGTGTGGGGTATTGTGTTTTTTTGTTGTGTGGGTATTGTGTGGGTTTTTTTGTGGATGTTGTGTGGGTATTGTGTGGGTATTGTGTGGGTATTGTGTGGATGTTGCGTGGGTATTGTTTTGGATGTTGTGTTTTGTTGTGTGTGGGTATTGTGTCTATGTTGTGTGGGTATTGTTTTGGGTGGTTTGTGTGTGGATGTTGTGTGGGTATTGTTTGGATGTTGTGTGGATATTGTGGGTGGTTTTATTGTGTGTGGGTATTGTGTGGGTTTTGTTTGGATGTTGTGTGGGTTTTTTTGGTTTTTTTTTTGTGTGGGTATTGTGTGGATGTTGTGCGGGTATTGTGTGGATGTTGTGTGGGTATTGTGTGGGTATTGTGTGGATGTTGTGTGGATGTTGTGTGGGTATTGTGTGGGTATTGTGTGGATGTTGTGTAGGTATTGTGTGAGTATTGTGTGGGTATTGTGTGGATGTTGTGTGGGTATTGTGTGGATTTTGTGTGGGTATTGTGTGGGTATTGTGTGGATGTTGTGTGGGTATTGTGTGGATGTTGTGTGGATGTTGTGTGGGTATTGGTGTGATGTTGTGTGGGTATTGTGTGGGTATTGTGTGGATGTTGTGTGGGTATTGTCTGGATGTTGTGTGGATATTGTGTGGGTATTGTGTGGGTATTGTGTGGGTATTGTTTGGATGTTGTGTGGGTATTGTGTGGGTATTGTGTGGATGTTGTGTGGGTATTGTGTGGATGTTGTGTGGGTATTGTGTGGATGTTGTGTGGGTATTGTGTGGATGTTGTGTGGGTATTGTGTGGATGTTGTGTGGGTATTGTGTGGATGTTGTGTGGGTATTGTGTGGATGTTGTGTGGGTATTGTGTGGTTGTTGTGTGGGTATTGTGTGGATGTTGTGTTGGTATTGTGTGGATGTTGTGTGGGTATTGTGTGGGTATTGTGTGGATGTTGTGTGGGTATTGTGTGGGTATTGTGTGGGTATTGTGTGGATGTTGTGTGGGTATTGTGTGGTGTCTTACATCAGGAAATATTTGAGATTTATTTCTCATTGGCTCCCAGGATGACTAAGCCAAACTAGATATCAGGAATCTACAAAGAAAGTAAAGGCAGTCTGAATACTCTACACACACACACACAAAATAACCAATGGAAGACGTTTTCGAGAGCAAACTGATGACTGTGAATCTGTAGCCATGACCAGTCGGCAAGAACAACATGTTAAAAGGGGTCTGGACAGACACGAGCACTTAGGAGGCCGATGAAGAATAAGAAACCAACACAGGACTTTGTGTCCTCGTGAGCCACTACACGCGGCGGATTAACTGAGGAGAGCATCTCAGCATTTAAGGACTTCCGGTCAAAATGGACGCTAGGCACGGGCACTGTGTGGAGCCGAGGCACATTTTTTGCTTCTGCCAGACGGTGGCCGTTGCATTTTTGCTCCATTTGTAGGCTGAAAGGATATAGTTTCGTCGCCCAGCTTCTGAGCTTAATGCATGGCGTGACACCGTGAGCTGCGGATTTCATTTGGAAATTTTTTTCGATTGTGACCAACGTGGTGGTGTGAATTGTAAATTCAGAAAATGGCGCGATGCCTGTTGTCGCAAAACTGGTGGTGCCCGTATGTGATTAAAATTAATCGCGTGTGCAACTGCTGATCTGTTCTTGACTTTTGTTATCATCAATGATGAACTGCATTTCTAATGTCGGACTGTTTGTGTTCGCACTTCGGATGGCTGCCGTTCACTTTTAATGCGTGTGTATGCTAGATATGCTGAGACAGCAGTCTGTCAATCTTTCCAAAAGGGACTGTGATAAACATTCTGTGTGTTTTTCGTTGGCACAGGAGCGGAGCAACAATGGGGTGATCCGTTTGCTATGAAGCTGAAACTAAGACCAGATTGAAGGACCCCTCATAGTTTCCATGTGCAGTGAGGATAATCTGTCGACTTCTTCTTCTTCTTCGCGCTCACCAGCTGTAAACTCCGGCGGAAAGTTTTGGTTGTTCGTCTACTTCTGGACTGCAGTCCTGTTCCAGAAACTGAGTTTTGCTTGTGAAAACGTCTGACAGATCTGACTCATTTGTGTGCAGACTGCTGGTTCCTTGCCTCTATTGCAAATGCACTCCGACTTCGAAGGAAGCTGCCAATTGCGACATGCTTTTGGGTAGGCAGTGGGTCTATTCTTGTTATCCCTATAATAGGGCCCCGGAACCTACACTGGTAGGCAGTGGGTCTATTCTTGTTATCCCTATAATAGGGCCCCAGAACCCACACGGGGAATCTGTCGACTAACTATGCATTTTTGTTCTATTAGGACCGTGCATGTATACGATTTTCCCAGGGCTGCATTAGGCACCCTAAGCACATGCTCAGGGCATCGCAAAGCGAGGGGGCACCACATATATCTTCAATAGCTGTGGAGCTGGCCTGAGTGCCTGATCTCTTTTCAAGTGTGGAAATAGATATATTACGCAAGATTGTTTTGAGGATGTGATAATAGACTTTGAAACACACACACACAGACAGACACACAGTATGAGGATACATAGACATTATTTTTTATCTCACTTAAAGTTTTGTTTAATATCGAAAAATAAAATCGTATTTTATGTTTTATTATTGTTTATATTTTAAATTATACATATAAATACATCACTAGTAGCGTCTGAACAAATATGGCTCATGGGCACTTGTAGGGGCACCCACAAACGTAGAAGCCCCATGCTAATCTGTGTAGGTCAATTGACTTGACCATTAACATTTCAGTCTGGTGAGTGGCTACCGTAGGGGCCCTAACACACTCGTTTGCCCAGGGTCCGTCATGCTGTTGAGACGGCTAGGGTTATGGGAGGTGGGGGAGGGGGTAGTGTATGTGTTTAGGGCATTTAAGGGTCTTAATTCGGCCCGTAATGGTCTTAAATGCAACCGCCATGTGTCATTTGTGATGAATGCAGCGCACGTCAACTAACAGACCAGGATGTAGACCTTCTGTGTGTCGGGCTCCCCCCTCCGGACACAACAAAGCCCATTAGTGTTAACCTGTCCATCAATTATCTCACAGCCAATGAAAATGACAGTTTTATTAGATTGCAGGCGTGTGCTTTTCCGATTGGCCGATGTCCGACAAAAGGAAACAAAGTAGTGATCACGTGTTCTGTCATATGACTTGTCTGGTCCAATGACCAATGTTTCCACCTTGAGATTAAACATACCTTGATAGTGAACCTTAGCAGAACTATAGACTGGCAGAATCGAATTCGTTGTGGCTCTGGTCTCATTTATAGTTTCTGACTTGTCAGTCTCGCTGGAGTCAATGTTGACATTATGTTTGTATAATTTATATGTTTATGATTAATATTTCCTTTCGCAGTTAGTAAAGCTTTTTTTTGTTTCGTCTTGTGATAGCTTTTCCTGTCCACAATTTCCCATTTTTTAAATTTTATTTCCGGTCCTATTTTAATCATGTTGTTAATTTATAAACCTCTCTCTCTCTCTCTCTCTCTCTCTCTCTCTCTCTGTCTCTCTCCCCCTCTCTCTCTTTCTCTCTGTGTGTGTGTGTGTGTGTGTTAAGTTAATAAAGATCTTAATCAAAACAGTCTAATATTTAGGCTGCAAGTTTTCCTTAATCGAGTGTTCTTGTCATATCTTATATTTAGTTTGTTGTTTCTCCATATCAACTCTACTGCAATCGTCTCTATTATTGCCCCTGACCAAAGGACTTGGAACCTAGCGCTCTGGTTTCTTGAGCCCTCAGAATATTTGGAGCCGAGCTGAGATTCCCCCCACCCCCCCCCCCCCCCCCCCCCCCCCCCGCCTTTCCAATACCTTAGTAAGGGGCTAACATACCAGCCATAGACATGTTCTTTAACAGTTTTTCTGTTTACATTTATCATTATTTCAAGTCTATTCTTATATGTTCAGGACCCTTTTCCACGCCTTTCAGAAGTACTGGGTACATAGGGCTAGACCTATATTTTATAGACCAACGACACAAGACGGGTGATGTGATGAGCATCACGCCCTAATAATAACAACGTGAGACTGAACAAAACAAAATAGTAAGAGAGACTAAATAAAGCCAATTAAACCACAGACATGAAGGGAGAGAGAATGTGAGAAACTGAAAGCAACACAGGGAGAGAAGGAGCGAAAAAAGAAATGAAAAAGTATGTCACTGTGTGTATGAGTGTGTTAAAACTTTCGGTTATAATTGTGACTTAGGTTATGTGCCCCATATAAAAATGGCTTAACACTGCTGGCTACCAAATGGTCATGAAAGGACTCTTGCGGTAATAATGCGATCAAAGAAAACATACCACACATACTGTTCCGAACGGCGACGAAGTCTTCTATCGGCGAGCCAGTGGGCGAAATGGTCCCTGGTGTAATAGAGAGAAAGGGAGAAATAGAAATGGAAAGTTCGGATTTTGTATAAGCTAGGGGGGGGGGGTGGGGGGGTGGGGGGTGGTTCACAAATAGTTTTCTTTTAAAAGGGCCCTTGTCCACAACTTCAGACGTATTTGGCACATAGGGCCAGACCCATCTATACGATAAGTCACAAACGCTTTCAGTATTTTGCATGTTCATTACAAATGAAGACAGAGCATATTTTGTAATAACAGAGGCCTCAGACCAGCACTTATAAACTTCACAATGGACAAACATTGTTAAAGCTGAAGTGGAGAAGGTTATTAAAAGCATGAAGCATGGAAAAGCCATAGGTCTAACAAAATAATAACGGAAATGATAAAATCACTATCTAGCTTTGGCGTTGATAGCATCACTGAAATTTGTTATGATATTTATAATACTGGCTACATTCCAAAGGATTTGAAAACATCTGTTTTTATCACACTGCCGAAAAAGTCAAAAGCCATTGAGTGGGAAGATTATAGAACAGTTAATTTGATGAGCCATGTAACTAAAATATTTGCAAGATCATTCAAGAAAGAATAGAAAATAATGAAGTTTCCAAGAAACAGTTTTATTTAGGAAAAATAGTTTGTTTAAAGATGCTGACTGAAACATACATATAAGTCCAGAAAGGTATTTATGCATGTTTCTTAGATTACAAGAAGACTTTTGGAAGGGTGTAAGATTTAAAAAAAAAAAAAATAATAAATGCACGCCTCAGAAATATAGGATTAGATGGAAAAGGTATCAGGATAATTAGTAACTATACAGGGAATAAATAGCAACAGTTAAACACGACAACATCACCTCACCACAGATAGAGATGGAAAGAGGAGTACGACAGGGATGTGTGTTTTCCACAAGCCTTTTCAACTTATATACAGAAAACATTTTTAAACAGGTTGAGTAATTTCCGGGACTAAGAACAATAAACAATCTGAAACATGCGGATGACACAGTGCTACCAGCAGAAAGCGAGTAGCAAATATACACGAATTATACGATCAAGTCAACAGGCGAAGTGCAGAGAATAATTTAGACATTACCATAGTTAAAACAAAAACGACGGTAATTAACAATGGAAAAAAAGCGGCCAACATATAACATCACGGTAAACAGAGAACTGTTTGAACAAGTAACAAGTTTTTCCTATCTAGGTTGTAACAGATGATGGAAACAGAAATCAAAGAGAGAATAGGAATGACTAAAACTGTCTTCAATAAGATGCGCAATCACTGACAGCTAGAGAGATAGAGATAAACAAAACACTTGAAATGAGAATCGTCAAATGGTATGCATACTGAGTCCTGCTATATTGTGCAGAAACTTGGACAATGAACAAGCAACTAGAGAATCGAATTGAGTCTCTGGAGATGTGGGTGTACAGAAGAATAGGTCGTATTTCATGGAAACAAAAACAGTCAAATACAGAGGTTCTGGAAAGACTACAAATAAAAAGAGAATTACTCATAGAAATAAAAAACAGAAATTTTAAATACTTTGGCCATTCAAAGACAAAACACAATTATTTAAAACATATTGGAGGAAAAGGTCGAATGCAAGAAAGAAACAGGTGGGGAACGGTACAAGTGGGAGGACAACATCAAGAGATGGACGGGAGGTATTCTGAGACAGTGTACAATCAGGAC